TGCGATTATTCCCTAGGTAGTCGATACTTTAAATTATCGATAGTGCCCATCACTAATCTTCAACATTGTTACATCGCAATTGTCGTACAATGTTGCTGCAACATTCCAACAACAGTACATTTACACATTGCAATGCAACATTGTAGTAATGTTACAGTAAAGTTTTTCACGATTTTTATGTAATTGTTATATCGATATTATTGGGAAAATATAATATATAAATTAATCGTAAAGAAGATCATAATCGTAATCACAATTATAACGTAAAGGAATTATAGAAATACCATCTGTACTTTCAGAAATTCATTTGTGGCAATCCTGCAGCAACATTGTTTTCAAAATCTGAAAAATTTTGGACCTGGATATAATGTAAGTCATGTTTTATGTTCCTTTAATAAAATTAGCATAGTAATGTCGTTCAAATGTAGCGGCAATCTTCCAACCAATCACGTTCGCGTATAGTCCAGTGCAATCCGCGCGATCCGCGTAGTCCGTTGGCATGTTGTTTCTTCGCGTGCAAGAATTAAATTTCGACTTTTATTGCAATTAAACAGTGTTTCAGTGATTAAAGTGCCGAGAATCTGTTAGAAGGAAGTATGGCGGACACTTGTCAGCAATTTTCGGCGAGAATCTGTGAGTACTATCAGCAAAATATCAATTCTAACCTGCGTCCCTTTCGTCTCGTGAATTCTGCGTCAATCTTAGTAAGTAGCGATTTTACTCAAACAACTAAGTTCTTGTTCTTTTCGAACATGAATAATGATTAATAAATGGAGAATTCACGAGGAGATAATTTTATATTTATAAGAGTGTATGTATACGACATTCGTATTTCGCGTTATTACACGCGCGATCGTGAGAATTCGTAGCCTCGGTGTCAGTGTCGAGCCGCAAATTCAGTCGAAAGTGCACACTTCTTTTGTCAAGTATTTTGATACTTGTCCTTGTTTGTGAATTTTTTCACGGTGCAACAAGATAATATTGCAATTGTGACACGACAGAAAAGTGGTCAGAAGATTATATAGACAATTACCCCCGCAAAGAGAATCGAGAAGACACTAGAAGACTTAGTAGGTAGGTAAATTGTATTGTTTAACGCAAATTATGTCTAAAATAACTCTTGCAAGTCTGGAATCCTTCGCATCATTCGTTCTTGCGAAACCCAGGCACGATTAGATTTCGGTGGGAGTTGAATATGAAAATGATTTTGCGTAAAAGAGATTTGTCTTGGACATGAGTTAGGTAAAATCAATTTATTATCGGAAGTGTTTGTAAAACGGTAGGATGCATTATTGCGCGCTCGCCGGAACGTGTACGAGCGGAACTGGAATAACTTGATGCTCATTCGACCGTTTCCATTCATTTTATCCGCGTTAAGTAACCTTCTCTCGCAGTAAAAAAGCCATGCATGTAACACCCCTCACGTTTTCCATTTCTCTTGATAAAGTTCCGGTTTGTTTTTCGACGATACCAGTTGTCTCGTTATACGTTTATTAAGATCAAGCGGTTAATGTTACCAGCTTCTTAAGTTTCCTGTTTACTGTTATGAGAATTTCTTCTACTAAATGCACGATCATCTACAGTATTATTTACTGTTATCAAAGATCGAATTATTCAATCCTAAAGTCGATAGACTTCTTTACGGTGGATAAAACAATACACGTTGCAAAACGTGTACGCGAGCGTTTGTTCAAGCAATAAGGAAAGAAAGAGAAGCGATTTCTCGCTCGTTCACGAACGACGTTCACCGTCCTACCTGTTCATTCGTCTCCCACTTGGCTTACGAAGGAACTCTTCTCCGTTGCTTGGGAAGTAAAACTCCCAGACGTTTTCCGATCTCTAACAGTCCCGAACTCGTCCTCCTCAACGTGTGAACTGGTCCTCTTCTTTTCGACTCATTCTTCTTCTCGAGAGTAAATCATCACTCCAGAGTTCTTCACTTTTTAATTGACTCTACAAATTTGTCGACGATAGTTCATTGAAATAGTGCAGTTTAATTGATAAAACGGGGAGAGACTTGGTGGGGTGTCGATGTTTAGTGAAGTTTAGTTAGAAAAGGATACCTCGAGTGCTTTGAGATCGAGTAGTAATTGGTAATCGGCGAGGAAGAAGATAGAGCGATGAGGGGTGTTTTGTGCTTTCTATGGATCGCTACGATCCTCAGGATAGAGGGTTTCGTGGCTGCTGAAACTGATTCGATTCTCCCAGGAACTGATTTATCTCAGTTTCAACAGGTAAAAACTACCTTGGTTTTAATTTTTCATTATTACTATTCAATTGTGGCTGGGATTAAAAATAGTTTCACAGTAGAGATACGATCAGTTACAATCTATAACATAAAAAAATCGAAACTAATATGATTGAGTTTCCAATTCAGCTCATTCGAAATTGCGTTTGGATCGGACTTTTTAATGGCATTCCATTGTGGACAAGTTACGTGCAATTAATCAAAGTTCCCTTTTCCACAATCGTGTATAAAACGTCCCATATCGATCGGAATACAATGTACGGGAGACTACTTCAGACACAAAGGTATCTCGGGACAGATTTGAATATCATTCCAGCAGAAATTGCTGTGCGAACGTGAATCGGGATATCGCTGATGTATCTCCTGCGACCGGCAGACTGCATTTCCTCGGTACGCGCAATCGCGTCGAGGAAAGTAATTTACGATCTTGTCTTCACGTTGAGAAACTCTTTCCATTATCTCTTACGACAATCGAATCGAATTTTGTTAATGACAAAAAAAGATGATAATGAGATATCATAAGTAAAATGTCGCAGAGGGTGCAAGTGAAATTTATTAAAATAAAAGTGAAACACTTGTTATCTGTATTCACTGGATTATCAAAAATTAGAAACCAGACAATAATGATAATAATCAATTTCAGCTGGTTTATAAGCATCATTTTTCTGGACTATTGGCTTCGCAAGAAGAAAATACGACTATTGTTCGCAATTAGCATGTACGCAGATCCAACGAAATTGCTCTCGCTGACGTAATCAGGCCATAGTAAACTGTGCGAGCCTCCTCGGTATCTTTCCCGACAATCGACGCTCAAGTTTCACTGGTTAGGCGGTAAACTCGCGAAAAAAAGCCGTGGACTCACGCTGTTAATTGTGTTCGCTCTGTTAACGCGCCGCTTCTCTGCCCATACTCGTCTCGTGTGTACGGATCATCCTTTTCGATTTCACTCACGCGATTTTCAACGCGTGTAACCTTAATTAAAGCGCGATGAAGCAAAAATTCCGTTCCTCAATCATTCCTTGACAGATCGGTCGTTTCTTGTGATTTTCCTACCTTTAGAAATTTTTCTGCGTCCACGCTTTAAATTATAAAAGGATTTACGTGCTGATTTTGAGAACCGAAGCAACGTTCTTGTGAATTAAAATCGCATTTTCTCCCGCGTTGGCTTCGGAATAAAATAATTGTTTTAAAGTATCTCATCAAATGTATCGCTTAGACTTTCATCTCTCGAATGAAAGAAAGATAAGTATAGCGGATTTTTCAAACTTTCACCATTTTACTTTAACACTGAAAAGCATGTCTAATAGAAAAGTTGATGAATATTTTCATCATCGAAGTGCAAACTTCTTCCCGTCCTCGAGAGAAATCACAATTAAAGCTGGACGCTGATAGAATCGGCATTGAAAATAGGCAAATGCGACATCGGACAGCGATTAGAGATTTTGCGAGTGAAGGTAGAAACAGGGGTCAGAAGTCACTCTGTTAGTGGGTGAGGATCTTGGTACTACTTTCCTCTATCGCTATGATCCCCGTTTCACAATTTTCCTACTTCGATTCCAATTCAAATACCGCATAGAATTATATGCTGTAAAATCGAATTCACACAGCAATTATATGGTAAAAATTGAATGTTTAAAACGGTATTTTCTGGAATAGTGCAAATTGCGTGATACACATCATAAGGCCAATGCTATATCTGATAATTAAGTATTACGCGATAGCTTCATCTACTTTGTGCAATATTCACTTACGTATGCATAGCAGAATGTAATTGGACGATTTCAGAGTGAAAGGTACAATTAATTCCTCGGAAACGGAGTTCAGTAACGTGTGGTAAATTGATAAAGTATTCGCTTTTGAATATTTCAATAATTCAGTCACTGGCAAAAAAACTTTTCCCTGTGTCTACGTAATACGTTTCGGAATAATTAATTGTCGACTGCACCTCTTCTTCCCGATCAATAACGCACGGAAGTTTCACCGGGAAGAGCAGGTAGCTCTTCCTCCGTCTTATTGCACAGAGAGAAATTTTTGCCTCCGGGTCATGCAGAAGTCGCACTTTCAATTTTACTGCTGTGAAACTACTTCTTTTTATCTCACAATCCTTCCTGTTCAAAAAAAATGTTATAAATCGTCTGCTACATATCTGTATATCAGGGATAGAAAAATTCTTTCTTCTTCTGCAATTACCAATAAGTAACAGCTCTATTATTATGATGTATAACAGTCGTTACTGATTCTAACTCGTATCTAACTGTACGCTGGCTGTTGGTTAGAGTCTGTTAATCAGGAAGGTTTCTGGAGAAAGTCAGAGAGTGTAGCATCCTTCACCTTCACCTATTGTCCCGTATATTCGCTTTGATCTCACTTCGCGTGTCCTCGGGAAGGAATCTTTAAACGCTCCGCTTCGATTTATTCGAGGGCATCTCGTAATATAAATAAAACTTTCCAATTTTACATAAAAGTGCTCATTTTTAATGAGTATTTTTTAATGAGCATTAATTATTCCTAAAAACCAAATGGAAACTATACAATTGCTTATTATCAAACGTGTTCTATACTAACGTCTAAGTTATGCATGTTTAGCAATAATTAGAATAATACTCGGTACACGCGTTTTCATTAATTCTCGACACGCTCTGAATGACTTATCTCGAGGACTGAGAAATACCTTGCGAGCCAGGAATAGCGTTTACACCGATGATCAATGCAAGAGAAAATCTGTTTCACGCCTTCTTCCATCACCGAATCGTATAAAACGAAATAGTTATTCATTTTGATTTCTCATGTTTGACAAATAACGAAATGACAGAATCGTGGGATTCGTTATCTGATTCAATTAATTCGAACTAATACATTTGTAATTATTATCTATTTAAATGAGGTAAAAGCGTGACGAACGAGTTCATGGTTAACTGTACACTCGCACGAAGATACAAATGTGTGAAACTTCGGGGAGGACGTCTAATTTTAATATCCTATTGTTAGACCGCGGATGTTTATGTAAAGTGAGAAAAGAAGAGCAGGGATTTCGTTTTATTTTTTAGAAACTCCTATTTTTCACTCTGCGTGTTCTCAAGCAGCTTTTGATTATGATTGTACTCGAATTTTCTGTGGATACATAAAATCTGCTGTTTATATTCTTTTCTCGCACTCGGGTCACTGTCCCAGCATCAATAAATCTCACCGGGATTCCAAATCGGTTTCTGTCATTCGGCCAGCCAACACTTTCACAAGGCTGGCGAGATAAGACTTAGAACATCGCCGTTTCTCCTAAGAAACATCGATTGTCAAACGGTTTCTCTTACACTTCTTTTTATACCTTGTGAGCAATCGCGATACCTGCGTAAGCGGAAGCGGGTTTTAATGGGATGCTCCATGAGCTTCCGTTTTCACGTAACTCGCTTCGAACAGAACGATTCTTAGTTTCGAGTGATAGTGAAAGCATCTCCCTTTATTGTTCTACCGTTGAAACATGTCAGTGGTTTTGTTTTTCGTACTTTAACGTTAATTAAGCTGAGAACTTAATTCCATATTTTACACTCTGACTTAGAATTCTTTTACGAATTCCAGGTTTGATGTTTGCTAATTAATGAGCTGGTGAACTCCAGGTTTGGAATCAAATGCAACAATTCTTAACTTGAAACTTTAGGAAATTATTAAACCGGTATAGCTTGTATTCCGAAAATCTGCTTGCTTGTCCTTATAACTTTGATATGAGTAATCGAGATCCAATGATGAAAACAGGAATATTAGCGATAGGGATGATAGGAGATTAGGATGTAAGACAGGTTTTGGGCGTTTGTTGCTAACTTAATTATGTCAGTAAGTCAGTTCGTCAGCCAACGAAGCATACCATTTCATGTTATTAATATATGTATTCGAAAATTTGCCAGACTATTTATCATGATCATACTACTGGATTTCGTATAACTTGTTCACAATCTCGGTGAGAAATGTTCACGACGCGGGGTGCAATGCGTGGAATCCAGTTAAATGGTTACGTTAGCCGCGGGGTCTTCCTTTCACTAAAATCGAACGATCAGGATCGAAAGTAAAAGTTATCAGGCGGAATACTTTCTACAAAGAATGAGGGATAAAGCGAAGACACTTTCAATCCAGCGTTAATCTTAATGGTACATAATCGTTTTTAAGACAACAGTTCCGCCTTCTAATTGCACCGTTTTTGTCTGAGAAAGTTTCAATCGCATTTTTATAGTCAGTCGGTCCATTATTAATTACATAATGTACTATTGATAGTAATCTTTCATAAAATCAATCTTATCTGTTCATAAAAAGATAAAAGATGATCCTGTATAAATAATCGTCCCTTGTTAATTTTATTTTCTAAGTCTTATCTTAATCTATAAGTTCTGTTAAAAATTCATTTGAGCTTAGATTAGCCCGAAACGTGGGACTCGAAATTAATCAGGAAGCTAGTTTGGAAAGTCGTGGGAAGAGGAACAGATACCCTTTTAAAAATATTACCTACTTTCTCTGCGCTTTAACGGAGCCTCGCTACTTCCTGATGTCCTCCCGAACAGTCGATAATTCACGGATTATAAATTTCGTGAACGGAGGGGAAGAAAAAAAACTGCTCGTAGAAACGCGAGAACTTTCCTTCGAACGATTATTGAATTATGCATGTCGAACGCTCTAAATACGGCTTCATCGATCACGAATCATTTCTATAATCGGGCAGCTATGTATTGAATCAGGCCAAACGGTAACGCAATCTATCTAAAGAAATTCAAGAATTTATACGCATGCAATGAAATGTTAACCCATTTGCATCACGTACTATCGACCATAAGTAATGTTTCATAATTTATATAATGATTGTTTTAATAAGATACTCGATGCAACGTTCCATATAACGATTGATAGTATAATTGATACAAATACAAACTGGTACATATGATTACTGCGGTAATAACGAGCTGGTAAATCGTGGTGCGAATGGGTTGAAATAGAGATGGGAACGATAATGTCATAATATCAGCTCTGGGAATGAAGAGTGAAGTATCCTAAATTGCATAAGCTCTTTAGAAAGCAGTTTGGCGATTTTAAAAACGATTAAACTGTGCATACTATGTGCCATTTCGATTATGTAAAGATACTGAAGACTGTTAAAATCGACACAGTTTCCTATGTGTTGTACTACTTGTAACTATGAATAAATTTCGAACGTTCTCGAGCGTCCGAGCGGCGGTTGTTGCTCGCTAAAAGAAAGGGAAGTAAAAGGGATATTTCACAACCGAAAGGCCGAAGCAAAAAAAAACAGCGAACCACATAGAATGGGTCAGAACTTCTCTGTGAAACGGAAAGAAAGCGAGAGGTAAAAATCCCTCGAATGCCAGGAACGTGTAATCCTGGTAAAAGTGAAGGAGCACCTGTTATGTAACGGGACTCGGATGCTTGTAAGTGAACGCACGCATGGAATTATGCAACCACTGCGCGTACGCGTAACAAGGGTAGAGGATCTGCTCGGGCACTTCGTTCCGAGATGTAACGCAAAAGAATTTCCTTATGGATCTATATGCAAGTGGAAAGTGAGCGTCTCCTCGGAGCGATAAAAAACAGGAGCCAGCCATCCGTGGCTTTGTGTTCATTGAATCGAATTAATTGGATCGATTCTAATAAGGAAACACTTTTTCTTTGAGTAATTCAAAAATACTGTTTGTGTTTTCCATAGACTTCTCCTTAGTTCGTTCGAAAGGATTTGCTTTTGATTTAACTGAGTAGAAGATGAAGGAGAGCGGCAAATATTTGTCGAGATAGTCCTACCGTGAGTCCATGCACTAGGGAGATAGGCCGCACCCAGATTAGAGTTTTTCACATCAGCTGTGGGAAATCCGTGGTCACCGGTCCGCGGACAAGACTCTGCAATCGTTACACGTGATCTCGTTACGTCAAGGAATGCGATCGATGCAATCTTAAAGGAAGCTCCGACTTCTAACTCACCAATTAACTTCGATTTCAGTGTTTAAACAATTTTCTATAAAAGTCTATTATATAATTCTTATCTTGTACTTTTAATAGCAATCTGCTATAGTTGTTCCTATTGTTAGTTACCCATCCTAATGGACATGTTTCGTTAAACTTGTTCTTGCACCTATAGGAAACAAAAACTCGAACCATTTAACTCTTACCTTATCTACCTTCTTATTCGCTGGTCTGCTGCATGATGGATTGAGTTACTCTACGTGATTGATTGTTAATTTGATTCCCGGTTTACGTGTGATACAAAAACGTGATACGCTCGTTAGTTACGCCTAAGGTAACAATGAAAAAAGTTCTCACCAGCATCAGTTACTTCTTGTCAATCCCAGTACCGTTTGTACGTAGAGACAAAAGCATCATCGTCCTACGAGAACTTGTGCGTCATTCAACACTGGATCATGCGATAACAGCGAGGGGCATTAAAAAAAGAAAAAGGTAAAGGAACGCGAGTTGTTTAACCGAGGAAACTGCCGTCGGTTCGCGATGGAATTAGGCGGTAAGAGATTTCAATTTCAAATTCGAGATCGTCGAACGAGTTATTACGCTGAAATGAAAACCGCGACGAGGTCCTATATTATACACTTTCTCGGGAGTGGATTGTCTCACAGCCTCGGTACAAAACTCGTAGAAGGGAGCACAATGCCGCGGTTAATTACCGCGATCCTAATTACATCGTACTCTCTTTTTCTTTCGTTGAACAATGCCAATTAGAAAATCGTACAACCGTCGGATTCCCGGCGCGATAATTACAGAATCTATAACTGGGCTGAATTATTATTTCTTTCGCAATTTAATGAAAACTTCCGCGCTCATTGTTTCAACTGTACGTACACGTGTTAACATGGTAAACAGTTTTCCTCCTTCGTTCTAACGCATGGGAAACAGCCGGCTCCATACACGTACGATTTATGGAGTATTTGTACACCAACAGAATTGAATTGCTAAAAGCCTTGATAAGATTTTGACAATGTATCTGACGTTTATTAAATAATATCACTTTGGAAACTGATCAGCTTTAAGCGAGACTCAGCCACAATTTGAATTTATTTAACAAGTCAAGAGATACAAGGATAATGTAAATTCGTTTAGAGTCATGATCCTCGACCTCGTCTCTCGGCCTCTCAACAGGCACAGATCTTAAGCGACGTTCAGCAGCATCAGCAACGATACCGTCGACCACAAGATGTATCCCACGCGCAGAGAGCTTCGTTTTCGAACCTGGAAGCTGGAACCAAGCCTCAGAACAGTGCCTCCTACTCGTCTCTGGCTAAGTACAAGGTGGATCGTGCGAAACAGCAACAATTACAGCAACTCTTGCAACAGCAGCAGCAAGTTCAACAGTTGCTGCAAGAACAGCAGCAGAAGATAGCCCAGCAGCTCAGCAGTCCAAACTACCAGACTCAGTACCAACCCAAGCAGCAGCAACAGTTTCAATATAACAATCAGTATCAGAATGCTAACAGCCAGTTTCAAAATCTTCAGCAAGATCTGTCGCAGCCGCTTTTCAGTGACAGACAAACTCTGCAATTGCAAGAGTATTTGCAGAAGCAACGAGAATTAGAATTATTACAAAAGCAAAGACAGCAATTGTTACTAGAGCAGCAAGAACTGAGGAGACAGCAGGAACACTTGAGACTGCAACAACTGCAAAAATTAACATCTACCACTCCCTTGCCGATTCCTGTCACTTCACCGAGTACAATTGCTGTTAGTACCACTGTCTCTCCTCTTCTTGTGTCTTTGCCAACGGCGAGGAAGATCACCCCGTCCGAAACCGAATTATTTTTGAAGGCTATAGCCACGCATCAGAAGAAGTTCTCCAGCACTACACCTATTCCACCCACGACCAGCGCGAAGACCACAACAACTAGCAGACCACCTGTAATAACTCCTGTCTCTACAAGAGCAACTTCAGGCATTCCGGATAATCTTCTGACTCTGATTCAGGAGCAAGAGAACGAATTCGTTCAACAGGGTAAACCGAAACCTCAGATTAAAGTGATATATCAAACGGAGAAGCCGGTTACTTCGAAGAGTGTAACAACGACTAAGGCTAGGTCGAGTTCCTTAGGATCAGAGAGAGATATATTACTGAAACAATTGAAATTAGCTCTAGCTCAGTCCATTGACGACGACGTTAGGAACATTAGTACAAGAGACATTATATTGCCTAATGGGAAGAAGATTCAATTAATAGATTCGTCTAGTAGTTTGACTTCTAATTTACCCACTGACGGGTCAACTCTGACCACTTCTACGTTAGCACTGACCACTTCTACTACTATTAAACCTCCAAAGGCTATTCTTGAAGAATTGACCAAAGGAGTATTGCCTCCTGGAGCTGATTTCGAAGTTATTAGACAGAAGAGCGATGGGAAATTGGAAGAAGTTGGAAAAGTACCGATTCAGAGTTTACCTGCGAAGAAGGTAACGTTCGTGGTCCTGGAGGAACAGCCTGATGGAAGTTACAAGGTGCAAGGTGTGAAGGGAAACGCGGAGAAAGAGGGAGGAGATGTAGAATCGATTGTAGAGAAGATAAAGAAAGGAGAATTGAAACTCCCTCCGAAAAGTTCGAGTTCCACTACTGTGCCTTCGCTTCAGAATTTTCCGTCTAGCTTAAATCCCAATGCGGTTTCGGCCAGAGGCGTTGGATCTACGACGGCCAGACCGACTACCGTTCGATCCACCTCCGCTTCGTCCAGATACAATGACAAGTGAGTCGAATGAAGGAATTAATTAGCTTTATATAAAATAGGCTATCAGCTTAAAATTTATGGTTTGAATTTTAATATCTTACACATCTTCGCATACTGAATGCATTTTTATTTTTATAAACTCGTATCTGTAGTCTGTTTCTTAGTTCTTAATTTGTAGAACGCATTGTATTCAGAGAAATTGTATGATTCTCATAGCAGACCGACGGATTATTATCCTCACGTCACGATCTCTCCGAATTCCGTCTCGACTACCGACAAATACTTGTCCTCCGCATCGAGCGTCACCAGCCACGTGTTCAACTCCGTGGCTACTACCCCGAAGTCGAGCTCTTTCAATCAAGATAACAATCGCACGAAACATCCAAGCGCAACGAGGGGTCACTTCATCCCAACCATGGCTCCGGTGAACGAGATCATTACGACAACGTCTGGGTCCGTACCGACGACTTTCTCGCACCAGACGAGCAATTCCTACGTTCACTTTAGCATCAGGCCCACCGACGAAACGCACAAGACCACCGCGAGGCCCTCGACCACGTTGCGTAACGAAAATATAATTTATCAGGATGAGACCACCTTACAACCGGTCACTGAATTACCCTCGACGAGGAGCTTGTCACATGAGAGCTTAGGCACGTTGTTGAGGAGGGAGGGACTGTACGCGATGTCTAAATATTTGAGGCAATCGGGATTAGACAACGTGTTGAACGAAACTGGTAGGTGAAGAAGAAATCGAGGCATAGAATAATTATTAGAGGCTTTAATCCCTGTTTTGTTGAGTAAAGACCAACAGCGTAAAACAATTACGCTTATTGTTAGGGGTTCTAATCCCTCGGAGACTGTTTTGTTCCCTACCAATGTCCAATTTAGTCATTACTAAAAAATGTTCTCACGAATTGCTCGGAACGTTTCGACACACCAGCTGTCTCACCACGAGAACAATGACGCTTGTTTTCTGGGTAGAATCTTTAAATTACGAAGTTCCCTTAATTGCACTTCAAAGTCACGTTAATTGATTTGATTAAACGTTGTGTCTTTCTGTTACCTTGATCGATTTAATGAGAATAATCGAATGAGAGTCTCTTTATAAAAAGTAGAATCTCGTCCTTGATCATGCTTCGCGAACGACAGAACTTGATTGAATTTTTAGTTTAACTCAATGTTCTTTCGCAATCGGCAGTTAATGGTTCGACGGTAAAAATCGTGTTCCCATTCTGTTAACATTGACAACGGGTTTAATTAAAAGGAAATATTGCCTAACTAATAATAATTGACAACCGCTTTTGAAGCAATTAAGGATGTATTGGCTATACAGTCAATCCCAAAAGTTTATGTGCCTTACAAAAATGCATTTCCTATAATTAAAAAGAAATCAGACGTCGGAAGAACAATGCTAATAATAAATAGCTACAGCTAAAGTATAGGAGGAAATATCCAATTAATTATTGATGCCGGCGAAAAATTTTTTATATAGAAATTGTGGGCGTCTTCTAACAGAAAAATTCTATGAATTTCTCTTCTAATTTCGATATTTAATGAGTTACATATGATTATATGGCATTTTATTGATGTTGACAAAATCCGACCAACCCAGCGTCGAAATGGCGAACTTTTGATAAAAAATTTCGTTTTTCCTCAATAACTCCTAAACCATTAGAGATACGAAGAAATTGCATAGGACCTTTTTTGTAGAGGACGACGAGATCTACAATTTCCATATAAAAGTTATTCGCTAGCGTCAATATTTAACGAGTTATTTGTAAAAAACTGTTTTTTCGTTTTTCGTAAATAACTCGTGAACTATTGATGCTAGCGAAAACTTTTTACACAGAAATTGTAGATCTCGTCGTCCTCTACAAGAAAGGTCCTATACAATTTTTCCGTAAGTCCAGTGGTTTGGGAGTTATTTGCAAAAAACGAAAATTTGGAAGAAATTGAAGGGGTATCCCTTGGAAAAATCTCGGAAAAATCGAAAATTTTTTTTTGTTGTTTATTA